AGCGCTACCGTGCGATCTCCAGGCCCTTTTATATTGCCTACTGATCACGGAGGGGGAAAGAATTTTGTCAGTCGTTATCTGTTGTTTTGTCTTTTGAAAAGGATGTTTATGTCAGAGATATTGATTCGGCGAAAGGACTTAAGGGGTTGAGATGTGGGAATAAGATTTATAGGATGTTATCTGGGTAGTTCTAATGTTACTTATGATTACATTGCTGATTTGGCGGTAGATTATATGCGTAACGCAAAGCGTGAGAAGCTCGAAGTAGCGAAAGTATATGAGTATTACTTAATAACTAACTCCAACGTTGGATGACGTCACATGACTAACTCCAACGTCGGACGACGTCACATACACTTTCGTTCGTAGTGTCCCGAATGTTTACTGTATGCCGATGGGTCTTTCCCTCTCCCTTTAGGGTCTTTATTCCTGATGGTGGGGATGATTTCTTCGCTTGTCGCTTATTTTTCGTATGAAAGGACGAAACAAAAGTCATTTCTTGGCAGAACGCCGCAATGTTAAGTACATCTGCGACGTTTCTATTTATTTTTCCACTTATTTCATTTAATCTTTATTAAAGTATTTTCCATTGCCTATTAATTAAATAATCTCTTCCTATTTTTTCAAAAAACAACGCAAGAAGTAAAACATCAGGAGGAGAAAATGCAAGCGCTCAGAGAAAATGATAAGAATATTCTTATGCATATATTTGTGGGAGGCCAAAAGCTACGCAACAGTTATGTTGCGTAGAATGGACGAGAAATATTGTAAATTTATATTGCATTTTTTATGCAGATGAAATAAAAGAAATAATTCGACCACTACTGGCATGGTGGCCGCAGGCCGGTGCCTGGTAGTCCATGCGGGCGTGGTGGGTGCCGCCGCCACCATCACCACCACCACAGGACAACCAAGGACAACCGCCGCTCCCGCCATCACCCCGGCGACCAGCGCTGCCACCCCCGCCCCCGCGCACGGCACCGCAACCAGCACCTGCTAACGTAAGTTGAATAACAATTCTGCGTTGCGTTTTTCTCATTAAAATGACACCAAATACGATATAATTACAATCATAATTACTTGTGTTTCGGGTGATTAAAGGTTTTAACATGAAAGAGAACGGCAAATGGAAAAGAAAGACAGATAGAATATTGTATCGGTCGGCAAACAAGAAAGACTCGTGCGTCTTCTGTTGTTGGAATTCAAAAATCAAAATTCTTGATCATCGCATGAAACGTTGATCATTGCATTCGTCTTGTTCTTTTAATTAAAATGATACCGAACATGATATAATTAAGATCATAATTATATGTGCAGCGAGTCGCTAGAAGAAATTCGTATCTCTGCAGTAAATGTACAGTTTTCGTAAGTGTGAAAATTGTATGGTTTACTACACAAGTACTGTCCAGAGTACGGAAGAAAACTAGCGGGACGGGAACGGGGCAAAGAGGGTAGGCCGCTAGGACCACCTGATCCCCACTTTTCTACTCACGCGTAGCTCCCACCGTTCATCCGTAATGGTGTGGTTTTACATAGGTATAGAAACTGATATTGCTACTATATGTTAAAAAACTCTATCTTTTTCCTCTTACGCGATGCGTAAAACTTTTGGACACTACGACAATGGAATGTCGCTCAACGTATCGCTCGTTCTGTCTCGTTTGTTCTACATATATCTGACCCACTCTCCGCGTCACGCGACCGATTAGTGTTTGTGTGCGCCTCGACAAATAGCGTGTTATTGCCGAAAATGCGTGTGACAATAGGCGGCAACGTTACAATCCTACCACTGCGATGCTCTTTTCGTCCCTCTAGCCTCATTCCCGTCCCGCTAGTTTTCTTCCGTACTCTGGACAGTAATTATTGTCGTAATTATATCGTGTTTGGTGTCATTTTAATAAGAAAAACGAATTGTACGATGATAAAGGTTTCATTCACGAAAAACCAAAAAGAAACAATCTTGATTTTTTAAAATAAAAGACAAAACACGCACGAGCCTTTCATGTTTGCCAAACTTCAGTCTCTCTTTGCTCTTGTGTTGCTATTCTTTTCTACGTTCGGCTCATTACAAAGCATGTAGTACCTATTCTATAAATGTAAAACTCCAGACCTGAAATTTTAATTATTTTTACACCTCATTATTTTTATCTTATTGTAGACGAACAGGAGGCAACGTCGAAGAATGTCGGCGATGTTGTGGCAGGCGGCAGGCGGCAGGATTGCAACCGCAGCAACAACAACACAACGGTGGCAAGGACAGGGTCGGGAAAGTGGACCATTACACACAAAATATTTTACAATAAATAATTATAAATAGTTACGTCTAAATTATTTGTATATGTACATTATTTGTATTTGTACTTGTAAATGCAAATTGAGTTATTTAAATAAGATAGTACAAAAAATGTAATATAATACAATTTCCAAAATATAGAAGTCAGTTGTGCGCTCAACGAAAGATATAAAATGCATGTATAACCCGAACCATAGTAATATTTTTTGCATAAGAAATTAAAAATTCCAATTACAGTGTTCATTCTATATAAGCAAAAATGTCCTTTCCGATATAAGCAAAAATGTTATCCCCACCACTGGGGGGAAGCCCCCTCGAGACGCCCGAGGTTCGCTCGCGGGGAAATGTAACGTGACCCGGGTATTAGTGTATCCGTGAGACAATACCAATGCAAATATAAAACTTTTTTATTTTTGACTTTTTCGTTATCAAACTTTTACCAATTAATTCTTGACATTTT